CTGCCCGCGCGCCCGGGCGCCCACTGGCCGGCGCCGGGCCGGGAGAGATGACATCGACGGGGAAGGACGGCGGCGGGGCGCAGCACGCGCAGTATGTGGGGCCCTACCGGCTGGAGAAGACACTGGGGAAGGGGCAGACAGGTGCGTGCGCGGCGGGCGGGGCCGGGGTGGGAGACCGGGGCACCAGGGGCGCGGGCGGACGGGCGCGCTGCCGCTGGGGAGGCCGTGCTGACTGAGCTCCGGGCGGAGGCCTGGAGGGAGGCGAGATGCTGCAGGCCGGCTCTGTCTCCGGCCCTGGTGGCCACGAACAATGGGCGGCCGGTGCGCCCCCGTCCGCCGGTGCGCCCCGTCCGCCGGTGCGGCCCGGTCCGCGCCGCGGAGCCCCCGCAGGCTGCGCGGCTGCGGTCGGCCGGGCGCGGCCCAAGGACACGCGGAGCGGACCGGGACTCGCAGGCGGACGGGGGCGCCCGTGCCGGGCCTGGGCAGCGCCCCTGGGCTCCTAGTGCAGGTGCGCGACCCGGGCCGCATTGTGCGCCGGAGCTACGGGCCTATTGTGCGGAGGAGGGGGCCGAGCGGGCTCCCATCTGCCGTCTGCCGCGGCCGTGCTTATAGGCGTGCTGCCCGAGCAGCTGCGCCCCGGGCCGCGCGCCCCGGCCCGAGACCCCCACCTCCGTGAAGCGGCCTCTTGAGCCCCCCTGGCCAGGCCCCGACCTCCCTCCATGACAGAGGTGGGAGAGTGCAAGAATCTGTCAGAAGGCTGGACAGCGCCTTCCTGTCCTCCGCTGTCCTAAGCTCCGCAGCCTGTGACTCTGCCCCTGCACTGCCCCAGGGGAGGGTGAGGCCAACTGGTGCTGAGACTGCGCTCTGGGCCTGGCAGAGGAAGAGACCCTAGACTCACTGAGAGGAGGGTCTTCCCAGCTGGTCCTAGCTGTCTTTCCAGGCAGCAGGCTAGGTCCTTGCAAGGCCCAACCCAGGCCAGCAGTGGCCACGGCTCCCCTTGCATTTGACCAACTTTGCCCAGCCTGGCTGGGCCTGGCCAGCCCCCTCATCTGGCCAGCCAGGCGCGTTCACAGAGTGTCTTTGTGGCGGCTGGGCCTCAGCCATTTTCTTTCTTCTCTCAGGACTGGCCTGCGTCTTGGTGTCCTGGAGGTCCAGTTTGCACTGTCTGCTTTTCCTTCCTTTCTGAGAAGTTCCTTAGACCCGGGGCAGGCAGGGGAGTAGCAGAAAGGAGGAGGCTGTAATGGTGTAGTGGGCTCAGGAGACCCTCGGCAAGCCCCCCAGAGCCACAGAGAAGCAGAACTGGGAGGTGGTGTTTAAGAAGGAAAGTGGGCCAGGCTGGGCTCTGGGGGAGGGCAGCGGCTGGCCGTGATGTAACTCAGGCAGAAACAGCAAAGCATCTGCTGGGGGCTGGGGCACTGCTTTGCCCTGAGCAGGCTGCCCCCCTTCCAACTGCCCAGGCACTGACTGGACCCTGGCCACTGTGTGGCACTGTGGGCAATGGGGACGACCCAGGTTTGAAGAAGAGGCAGCAGACAGCTGATGTTCACCTGAGTTCAAAATGTGCTAGTTTTCTGGTGGGAGCTACGAAAGTCTGTAGGATCCTTGGTGAAATAAGGGGCCAACCACAGTGCAGGAGGCAGTGAAATAATCTAATTATTGTGCCAATAAAATGTTGTTATAAGGAAACATCAGCATGTGAGCGATGACAACAATGAATTATGTGCAGGCTAAGAGCAGTCTCGGTGAGCAGGGGCTGGTCTCTGCACTCTTCTTGAGTTAGACTATCATGCAGTTAATTAAGGGAGGTTTCCACTATAATTAACATAATGAATACAAAAAGGATGTGCCTGTGTGTGTATCAACAAGGAGTTATAGTGTGATATTTAGAAACACTCTGAGTGGAGTGGAGCTCAAACTCCTGCCCAAGCACCTGGAAGTTGTCCCCTCTCTGTGTTCTGATCGTCAAAGTACAATTGTCTTGCCCAGGAAGGCCCAGGCCAAGGCTGTCCACTGACATTCATCTTCCTGTCCCTGCGGATGAAGGGTTCTCTGGAGTTCGGTGGATGTGGGGCCCCAGATGTGCACTGTTTGGAGAGTTGCTATATGCCAAGGCAAAGAAGGAGACGGGCTTACACCGATGCCCCACACACTCCAGCCCTGCCGCAGAGCACATTCCTCCTGCTGGGACCCAGGTCCTAGTGTGGCTAGTGGTTGTGAACTTTAGTTCCAGCCCACTTCTAGTCTGTGGCTGGCCTTGTTCATTTCAGCCCTGCTGGTTCTTCACTTTCTCTCTGCTCAAGTCCTTTGAAATGAGAGCTATTCCCCTTGAAGTGGCCATGGAAAGGGAGGTGGTCCAGTGGCAGTGAGCTTCCTGTTGTAGTAGGAGCCTTTTGGCCCAGCTGACCCGAGGTAGGCCATGGATCTATCTCAAAATATTGCTATTGGGAGATGTGGCAGGTGTAGCTGCCCTGTGGGGCACAGCAGACCCCCCTTTCTGGTATTGCAGCATCTAGTCCACCCTATTGTACTTGCCAGTCCTCTGTGACTTTCTGAACAGGGCTGCCCAAGTGTGTCCTCTGCACGGCTACCTTTTGCGGCCTTGGGTATTACCTCTGATTGCCCAAGTGCCCAAGCCCAGGCACCAGTGAGGCACAGCAGCCTTGGGAAGCCTCCTCACTGCTGGGGCAGGTGATGCTGGGTGGGGCAGTGCCTGGGCTTTTCCCTTGATCTGAGAAGTGCTCACTCAGCCCCCATCCTCAGTGTGGCAGAGGTGGGACAGAGTCTTTGCCACTGAGGGCAACCTTGGAGGCTGGAGGGTAAGGATATGTATGAGACACTTCAAGTCTAGGCCTGTGCAGTTCCAGGACAGAGTGCCACGTAATCCTGTGGCCTCATCCCTCCTTCTCATTGGTAAATGGAGCAGGGCACCTCCCTCCAAACCAGAGCTCAGCCCATGGGGTCCGAGAGGACCCTGTGGAAGGAGATGGGGGATGTAGACCCTCAGGCTATTCTGGAATTGTGTTCATGGGGAGATATGGGGCCCTCAGGAACCCTTGATCCACTGGGCAGAAAGGAGGTGGCTGGTGCAGGGCTTTCCTGGCAGGGCTGCCCCGTGGCTCACCTGCCTAGGCTCTTGTGGATGAGGAAACCAAGTCCTAGCACTTGGTGCTGTGTCTTGAGCAACAGCTACTTGGGGTGGGCTTAAGCCCACGGCCAGCACAGACTGATTTCCAAAACTGTAGCACCTCAGGAGGCCAGCACAGAGTTCTGGTCCTCATGCCTGCTTGTCTTCCCAGCCCTGGCTTGGCCTTCAGAGGACCCTGGGCCCCATGAAGTCATTGGGAAGGCCCATGTGGCCTCCCTTTATGCTCCGAGACATAACCCCAGCCTTCTCTCTACCTTACAGACTGTCTAGGGAGCAGCCCCCCTTCCAGGCTAGGACCTGGCCTTTGGTGGACTATTCTGTCAGAGCCCCTGGGCATGGGGGCTCTTGAATGGTGAGGGAGGCACGCCTGAAAGGACAGGCCCCAGGGGTCCCTATGGTCCTGTGCCACCTCAGCTTTCACACCCATCTCCCTGCCTGCCATTGGTTCCATGTGGGGGCTGTGCTGGAGGCACCCTGGGCAGAGGACACAGCCAGCCCTGCCCATGCTGACCATGCGTGGGCCCTGCCCAGGCTCTTCTGTACTGTGGGTTTCCTCGACATGCAGGTGTTGGGTCTAGGGTGTCCCCCAGGACCCCCAACAGGTGCAAGCTGTGTGGGGAGGGCCTTCCAGTGTCATCTGTGGCTTGTCTCTGCCCTGCTGGCACCAACGTGGAGAGTCAAGTCCAGAACTGCCAGGGAGCTCAGGTGGAGACAGAGCGCTGTACCCACTGTGATGGGCAGCTGAGGCTAGGCTTCCATCCCTGTTTCTGGCAGATCCTCACTGGGCTCCAGCTGGAGCCACCCACTATGGACTGTGCCTTGCATGTAGGTCTGCGGCTCCAAGGGGCTTTGGGTCCTGCCCCGTCCCTGGCTGTTCAAGGTGGCCAGGGGTGTCTTAGTCCTTCCTCTGGTTGGTGTGTGTTGACCCCCGTGTCCCCTCCCCAGCCCCTGTAGGATTGTGTGGACCTGAGCGCATACACCCAGTCCCCTGGTGATTTTTCCTGGTCTTCACTCGTAGTGTTGCTATGGTGTGACCCCAGGGCGTCTGGGGCCGCACTCTCCTCATTCTCAGTCCCATTTGCCTTATATCAGACAGCTAGTCCTTCCCAGGGCTGGATGCTGGGAATGGCCTGAGTCAGCTGGGCCACCCTGTCTGCTGCCATCCCTTTTCAGGAAGCCTGCGGCTGGCACTGGGGAGGAGCAGTCAGGAACTACCCTCTCTGCCACCCACTGGCCCTGGTATAGAGGGCGGCTGAGCCTCTGCAGCCAACACCACAACAGGCGCCAGCTCCCAGAGAGGAGATTGGCCAGCCACCCAGTGCGGCCTCTAGTACCCACTGTGTGGGGCTGTGCTGGCCCCTCAGGCCCCTGTAGCACCTTGGAGCTTAATGGCACAGGTCTGTGTTGGGGCTAGGGAGCTCTGGAACCCCTGCCTGGGTTCTGGCCATCAGGAGTGAGGGACTGTGGCCCTGGGGCCCCTTGTCTGTGAGAATCAGGTCTCTCTTGAGCTTCTGTGAGGCCCTAGCAACTAGAAACCACGTCAGGCAGGCGGATAGCAAGCTGGCCACTGGGGCTGCGTGGGAGGGGCCCTCTGGCCTCCCCTGGGTGGGTGGCTTTCCATGCTGCCTGCACCTTGCAGGAAGCCAATGGTGCATTGACCAACCCTCCTCAGTTCCAGGGCCACTGTACCCTGGGGGGACATCTGATGTCAGGCCACATCACGTGGGGGGTGGGGGGGGTTTGCACAGGGTGGGTGGGCTGAGGTGGCCAAGCTGCCCTCAGGCCTCCCCCAGGCCTTGCCCCAGGGTTGCTGCGCCAGCTGCCTGGCACTCTGATGAGATGGAGGCTAGGATGTAGGGACAAAGCAGGGATTGTGCCCGGCCGGCTGCCTTGCAGGGCCCAGCCCGCTCAGTCCAGGCCTTCTTCCACTGCCTCTGAGGGGCCAGTGTTGTGGGGGCCCCATCTGAAGGATGGCGCTTTCAAGGGGCTCCCCCTT